CTCTTTTAACTCTTGTTTGTCTTGTTCCTTAAATGTTACTAATGGATTAAATTGCCATCTAAACTCCTTTCTCCTGCTGCTACTACCCAATTTAAAGAAGAGAGGGGCATGGTCTCCTGGCCACCTATTTCCCACTGATGCTTCTACAATAGGTAGAGCATTATTATTACCAATAAGAAAATAATCTAAAGTAGAAAATGAATTATGCCTAGCAGAATAGTGTGTGGGGATGTTGACTCTCTGTCCAATTCTTTCATTAACATCACAAATATTCAATTTTTTAAGGTTGATTTTACTTTATCCCCCAGTAAGAAACTGTGATTCCATATTGTGATAATATTTACTTTCTAAATGAACCTTGTCAAATTTTCATTCCCAAATAATAATAAACTAAAAAAAAGTAAAATTACAAAAAAGATGACGTTTCTTCTAAAATCAAAAGGGAAATAGTTTGGCTTTGAAACTGACTTATTGGTCCACCAAACAGAACAGAACAATACTTTGATAGCAGAAAAGAATCTCAACATAAATTCAACCGGAACTTTCACAAAATAATAGAACAGTCAAACAGATATTGGAACTACAACAAGCCTTATTCTGTTGAACAATTCAGAATCAATGAGAGTAACATGCCATTGTTAATAGAAGCACTAGCAGAATTCGCTGCAAGATGTTTGTTAAATTTCATTTAACAATACAATCATAAAGTTTGAAGAGACCACAAGAGCCATTCCATCTAGTCCTTGCCATGAAGGAATACACAATCAAATTTGGTCCATGCATTCTACTCCTAGTGTCCCAACAATGACTAATTGCCCTTGACTTTTAGTTCATGATTTACAGTTGGATGGACAAAAGGAACCCTACATCAATTTCTGAAAGTTGTGGAAATCAGCCATTCTACGCCTACAATTCAATCCAAGACTTGTTTTATGTAACAAGAGGCTATGTGTTCTTTTCTAGTGACTATTGGATCATCTTGAACGATGTTCAGAAGATCCCTTGCTTAAGCTATGATTATAATGGAGTATGTGGTTTGCCATGTTTCCCAAGAGCAGCTTCCCATGTCTCTACATGCTGCAGGAGAAGAACTAGATCAGTGTTTCTCAACCTGGGGGTCGGGACCCCTAGGGGGGGTCATGAGAGGGTGTCAGAGGGGTAACCAAAGACCATCAGAAACACAGTATTTTCTGTTGGTCACGGGGGTTCCGTGTGGGAAGTTTGGCCCAATTCTATCATTGGCAGGGTTCAGAATGCTCTTTGATTGTAGGTGAACTATAAATCCCATCAACTACCACTCCCAAATGTCAAGGTCTATTTTCTCCAAACTTTGCCAGTGTTCACATTTGGGCACATTGAGTATTTGTGCCAAGTTTGGTCCAGATCCATCATTGTTTGAGCCTACAGTGTTCCCCGGATGTAGGTAAACTACAACTCCAAAACTCAAAGCCAATGCCCACCAAACCCTTCCAGTATTTTCTGTTGGTCATGAGAGTTCTGAGTGTCAAGTCTGGTTCAATTCCATCGCTGGTGGAGTTGAGAATGCTCTTTGGATGTGGGTGACCTATAAATCCCAGCAACTACAACTCCCAAATGACAAAATTCCACTCCACCAGTATTCAAATTTGGGCGTATTGGGTATTTGTGCCAAATTTGGTTCAGTGAATGAAAATTACATCCTGCATATCAGATATTTACATGACGATTCATAACAGTAGCAAAATTACAGTTATGAAGTAACAACAAAAATAATTTTATGGTTGGGGGCCACCAGAACATGAGGAACTGTATTAAGGGGTCATGACATTAGGAAGGTTGAGAAACACTGAACTAGATCTTTCATTTCCAATTTGCGATCTAAAAGGGCTTCTTGCAGTGGCTTGAAGGCAACATTGAATCGCCATTCTTACCTTCCCCTCTCGTCCTTGGCTTATCAGTAACCACCAGGTTCAAAACTGTTGGTTGCCATCACTCATCACATTCACTGATGCTGACCCAAGTCACAGAGCTATGTGAGAGAGGGGCGGGGAGGAGGAATTGATCCTTCCTTTCCTTCCTCCCATTTCCGATTGCTCCGTTTCTCCGAAGTGTCAGTGGATGCAATGAGTGGTGTCCACCACCAGTTTTGTGCCTGGTGGTCACCACTAAGCCAAGGAAAAGAGGGTTAAGGTAAGGATGATCCCTTCCCTCAGCCTGCTTAAGCCTGGAGAAAGCAGAGTGACTGTGTGAACAGTCATAGCTGTGTCAGAATAGGAAGTAGCACAACTGTTCACACCACCACAAAGTGTGGGCAAACTCCACAGCTTCAGGAATGCTCTGAAGCATCCCACATTTTTATTACATGGAGCAATGTCATGTTAAGTGGCCTTGGTAGCTGTTACAGCAAATGAACCCCATGAGTCATCTGGATGCCATAGAGTCCATTCAGCCTCACCCTGACTTCGCCTGGGTATATGGATCGTAGTGCTTCTCTCCCAATCAGAGAATACAAACCTGATGCAAAACAAGTCATACGTAACATTCCCCTTTCATACAAATTCGTAGTCCTCCCCTTTCCCACTATCAACCCATTCCACCTTGTTTCATCTATCTTGGTCAGATATGGCTCTGCTTCCTTCTCTGTATTCACAGCTTCTGAGCCATAACCATCCTTAGACCATATGTTCTAGCATAGCACATGTTCCCGACCAAACAAAAGCTCACAAATAAACTTCTAAACAGTTTGGCCAAGCAACCAGACTTAACACAAGCTTTTTCCCCCCTGTCTCCTTCACCAATCCCAGGTAACTGATTTTCGGTAATTTTCCAAGTCATTGAATTGCCATTAACAAGGGGTATATTAATTTTAATGGCTTGTCACCAAATTGGTTTGAAAGATGATACAAAACCAAGGCCACATCCTCAATGCTTTTTAGTCAACACCACCTAGAATCTAGCCAGTATTGCCACAAAGGCACCTTCTACACTGTCCTTATATCCCAGGATCTGATCTGCTTTGGATTATATGAGTGCCCTTCTACACTATGCTAAAACCCGAGAGGAAGTGGGTTAAAACAATCCACTTCCTCTCGGGTTCTAGTTCTCACGCCCAACCCAAACCCTGGACTTTCCTGGAAGGGGTGGCCAGATGGCATTCTGGGTCAAACAAAGGTTAACTTGGGATGCCATCCAGCCCTCCTCCAGCCCCCCATTTCACCCCTAAAACTTACTGGAGGGGCCTATATACAGTGACACAAGAAAATTACACATAAGAAGGTGGGGACAGGGAGGAGGGAAATCCCTCCTCCCCCCCCCCCTCTTCCTGATATGCCATTTTTTCACATGGGGGTTAGAGAGGAGGAGGTGGGCTTTTGGAAGCCCAAAGAAGTGGGATGGCTGTGGGTCAGCCCACACAGGGACCTCATCTCTAAAGATCCGTACCTTAGTTTAAGGTCTGGATCTTTAGAAGTGTTTAATTAATGTGGAGTAAACTGGGAAAACCCGGTTTACTCTGCATTAATTTGCTTTTACCTGAGGTATAGTTTGGATGCCTCAGGTAAAAAATGAGACAGGTCCTGAGTGTTGAGACTCAGCCTGTGTTTGAGCCTGAATTTGTTCTAGTATTTCCCCCTTCTAATGTTCCTGAGTCTGACTTGAATGGTGAACCTGATGTGATCACTGTCAATGCGGATGAGGTGCAAGACAAAACACTTTGGACAATAAGGTTACTACAAACTCTGATCAAGAAGAGTCAGGGGAAAGGTTAAGTTCTCATGAGAAAGTTCCTGCCACGGGAAGGCAGGAAAGTTTACTCCCTTCTCCAGGCTCGAGTTTGCAAGCCTGGTGCAGCTAATGAAGAGATAAATAAGACCAATCACCGTCTGGAAATCAGCCAGAGCCTTAGAGAGGCCCAATGTTTACGTAGGTCAGAAAGAATTCAGCAGTTAAGGTCAAAGACTGGGGGGAGTAGAAATCAGTTTCTGGGGCTTAAATTGAGCTCTTAGGGAATTTCCTTTAGACCAGGCATCGTTTGGTTTCAAGTCAAGTCTCCTGGATATTCTGGTTTTCATGTGGCCGCGTCTCAAGGTTTCCTGGCTTTTCAAGTGGATTAACAGTGGTTCATGGTTTTATATTGAAGGCTTTTGGCATTTCATTGCATCTGGATTCTTACAGCAAGCTTTTGGAACATTGCTATTATTCCTATGTTTGGATACTGTTTATGTTTGCTGCTTTTGGACTTTTATCAACTTTATATTTGTCTCTTTTATTGGCTCTAATTATTCTTCAAATAAAGATGACTCTTCTTTCATCCAAGATGTGGTGTAATTAATGATTAGAGGGTCCTGCTCCTGCTCTAGGATGCAACACTGAGTTTGAACCTGTGTGGAAGGGCCCTGAGTCTCCACTGCCCTATAATATGGGATAAGCAGATAATCTAGGACCAACATTATCTGCTTTGAACTGGAATATATGGCAGTGTGGACTCAGATAATCCAATTCAAGGCAAAAATTGTGGGATTTTCTGCCTTGATATTCTGGGTTATATGACTGTGTGGAAAGGTCCTGGGATGAAATCCTGGGATATAGGGCAGTGCAGGTGGGGCCTGAAAAATGATCCCTAAAATTGAATTTTTCTAAAATCTGAGAAGTACATAATTCAGACTAGTAATTTTAGCTCCCACTGGGCAATGTGCTACCTATATATGTTGTCTTTACTCCTTAAGGAGTACTCACTTAATTTTAGTGAGCAAATCCATCAACATGCTGAATTTAAATATTAAATGTGTTAGTAAAAACGTTTTTGTACAAATGTGAAAACAGATCACTCCAGTCTTGACCACACAGGTTAGTACACAGCTCACTACAATGGAGAGCTATCAAAACTGCATGCAGCTATGCACCGTAAACCTGTGACTTTTTGTCAGTGTTACAAAACCGAGTTTGTGCACAACAATCACAAGGCATAGGGACTCATATTCACCAAGGAAACATGGTTCACAGAAAAGGAATCTAGGACTCACCTTGGACAACTTGGCAAACTGTACAACATGCACACTCTGTAAAAGGAGGAATATTAAGAACTGATCATGCCATACGAAGGTGGGTGTAGCTTAAAGTGTAGTAGCCATTACATATCCTCAAGGGAGACTGGGAAATGGATACTCTGAACCAGAATAAAAATCAATTCTATGTTCTACCCATATATGCAGTTACACGTTGCTCAGGCCTCTTCTACACTGCCATATAAAATACACATTATCGGCATTGAACTGGATTATATGGCAGTGTAGACTCGAGTCCCTGAGTGGAGATGGTGGCGGGTTATAAATAAAATTTAATAATAATAATAATAATAATAATAATAAAGCAGATAATATGGATCATTTATAATAATAAACTGCATCCATAAGCTGCTTTTTATCAGAAAGAAAATAATAAAGTTGGAGTTTGAAAATAACATATTTTAAGTGACAACGTTACCTGTAATGCGTTACTTTGTGGGCAAGAAGAACATAAAGACCTTCCTTTTGCAAATAAGGTAACATCTCATAATGGCAATACCATTTTCCAGGAATCAGTAACATTGCAACTTGTTATAATGTCCAGAAATATATTCTGTAGTCCTTCAACCTACATAATATTTTTTAAAAGCCTCTATTAAGAGAAGTGGGAAACCTATAGTCATTCAGATGCTGATGAATTCATAGTCTCATACCAGGCTAGCTTACTGTTATGGAAATTGGGAGCCAACAACAAAAGAGGAGTTTCAAACTCCCTTGCATTGTTGTATAAGATTTATTATGGCTGCAGTCCTGTAAACACTAAACTGGACGTAAATCCCTTTGAACTCATTAGGACTCAAATCTGAGAAGACATGAGTAGGATTCTGCTTGGGTTGGCTTCTCTGTATACCGTATATTCTGGTGTATAAGACTACTTTTTAACATAAGAAAATCTTCTCAAAAGATTTCTTATATGCGGGGTTGTCTTATACGCGGGAGTAGTCTTATACACAGGAGTAGTCTTATACATGGGAGTAATCTTATAGAGCGGGCGCTGAAACTTCCAATCGGATTGGAGAATCTGTGGTTGCCGCATATTGTATGCTATTACCGTACCTCCTCCTTTGCCGCTCAGATCTCGCTCCTGAAGACTGCAGTGAACCGGTGCAGGTGTGCATGTGCGAGATCTGAGAGGCAGAGAAGGAGGTACAGTAATAGGAAAATTGCCATATTGAAATCAAATCTGATGCTTTTAAAATATTTATTTGGTGTGCGTTGGAAGAGGGGTAGTCTTATACGATGAGTATATCCCAAACTCTATATTTTAACTGGAAAAGTTGGGGGTCATCTTATACGCCCAGTCATCTTATATGCTGGAATATACGGTGTATATATATGTGTGTGTGTGTGCATGTTTGTGTGTGCACAAACACACTTGATAAAATTGTGGGCATGAATATTTCTTAGGTTTGCTCAAAATCTTCACAAGTAAGTTTGTTACTGATTTTTTTTATAAATCTTGACTTACACAAGAAAAAGAAGAAACTGATCAAAGTTGCAATAGAATATAAAATTCAATGCAAGGAAAGGGGGTGGATCATGGTCATTATACTCCATAACAAGTGTTCTGGGTCTATTTGTTGTGAGTATTGCAGAAGCCTGCTGTTCCCAAAGACTGCTCTGGAGCTCTTACTGTTCTTAGCTTTACAGGTCACTGAGGCCCCTGTTATGCTTAAGTGGAATTTAGTCTGGTCCAATGCAAAAGACACAATAACTTTGCACAAAGGCAAGAGGAAAAAGAACAGAAAACTTTACTCTTGTCAGCAGAGTCAAAACATAAACTTGCAGTGTTGCATACAAAATAACAGTGCGACAAACTAGTCAGAATATGTGGTGTTTTGATTAAGTGTATTGTAGTTTTAAGTTAGTGTTTGTGTGCTTAGAAATGTAATGCAATGTTCCAGAGTGTACTTCCTGTGTGGAAAGAGTTAACAGTATAATGAAGAGGAGCGGCATTCCTAGAGAGTTGTAAATCTTAGTGTGGAGAGCTATGTACTCTGTGTCGTATGTCATCACGTCACTGTGGAATGTAAGGAGGTGCTAAAGTATAGATAACAATGTGTAGATGAATCATGTAGCCGTGAGAGATGGAAGCAAGTTTTGTTCTGCTTAGCTTCTATTGTAAATATTATTTTGTGTTTAATAAATTAGCTTTTAGACAAGAAGATGTGTTTCAGTGCCTTGCTGTACTGAGATCACTACAATGACTAAACTTACATAGTCCTTAAAAGAATTACAGAATACAAAAAGCATGGCTGCTTCATCTTCCTTCAAATGAGCAGCGCAAATGGTTGAGAAGAATGCTGTGAGCATAAGCTCCTCAGAGCAAAAGCTGAACTGTATTCTACAATCCATACAGTTATACCCCACCGAGTGTGGTCCAAACTTACCAGTTGACCTACAGTAGCAGCTGCACATAATAATCACATACTCACATACTTCATCCTGTTACGACTTACTGTAACAGCCCCTTCTACACTTAATCCAATTAATCTGCTTTGAACTGGATTTTATGGCAGTGTAGACACATATAATCCAGTTCGAATCAGATAATGTGGATTATCTGCTTTGATAATCTGGATTATATGGCAGTGTAGAAGGGTTCTAAGAGAGTAGTATGTGAGATAGGCCTACTTAAGGCAAGAACAAACATTATTATGTTTGGGTGATGCCGTGGTTTCATTTTTTCAAGTACACAATGAGCATCACAGGGGCAAAAGCAAGGCAAAATGACTGAATCCGTGAATCAGCATTCAAAGCATTCAGAAGTTCACTGTTCCAAAGGCAGTGAAGGGTGGCAGAGGTCACCCACAGAGGAAAAACTATAATGACACTTGTTTACAGGTATGTTTGAAATATGTACTCTGTGTGTAGCTGTATATTGACCAAACCATTTAAAGGCTGCAAGACAGCTGCAGTCAGCCTAGTCAGCAGATTGCCATGGCTCTGAATAGATTAACACAGAAGGGAGAGGGATATGTGACAGTGACTTTTGACACCTGCTTTTAGAAATGAAATCTACCTTCATCACTACTGCATAATCTTCAGTACTATCAGCTTGTCTGCTCATATTTCTCTGATTTTGTAAATACTTCCTAAAATGAACAGTTTTTGCAGAAAAATGAATTTCTGAAACTCATCTACCTTTAGACTGTTAGTTACACTGACTTCAACAAACAATCTGACATTAACATGGAGCTATGGCCAATGCAGTTCACATTACAAAAGCAAAGCCACCTGTTACATTTATTTTGGTAAACAATTTAGTACCAAATTGCTCAATTAATAATGTATTTATTTTATTTATTTACGACATTTATATGCTGCCCTTCTCACCCCGAAGGGGACTCAGAGCAGCTTACAAGTAAAAAGTAAATACAATATATTATTATTATTATCATAGCACAATATTAATATTATATATTACATGGCACTATAACCTTATACTGTAATATTATTAGTAATATTACATTTAATATAAAATCTATATAAATAAAAATGTAATGTTCGTTTGTGGGATTAACAGAACTCAAAAACCACTGGGGGAATTGACACAAAATTTGGACACAAGACACCTAACAACCTAATGTATGTCCTTCACTCATAAAAACACTGAAAAACACAGCAGAAGGGACTTAAAAAGCCCCCAAAAGCTAAATGATGAAAGGCTAAATGACAATACAGAAAAAGGGAAGAAAGAGGGAGGGAAGGGAAAGAAAAGAAAGAATGAAAGAAAAGAAAAGAGAGGAAGGGAAAGAAAGAAGGAAAGGAATGAGGAAGCATGGAAGCAAAGAGAGAAGGAAGGAAGGAAAGAAGTAGAGAAGGAAGAAAGGAGAGAAAGAGAGAGGAAAAAAAGGGAGAAGGAAGGAAAGTTAGAGAGGGAAGGAAGGAGAGAAAGAAAGAAAAAAGAAAAAGAAGGAAGGAAAGAGGGAGCGAAGGAACGGGAGAAGATGTAGAGAAAGAGGGAGGGAGGAAAGAAGGAAAGAGAGAAGGAAGAAAAGAGAGTCAGCAGAAGAGAAAGAAAAAGGGGGAAGGAAGGAAAGAGATAGAGAAGGATGGAAGAAGAGAAGGAAAGACAGGAAGGAAGGAAGGAAACCTTCCCACCATCAGAGGGGGTTTCTGGGAGGAAGAAGCCCCCCAAGGCAAGAATGGCGGTGGGGACGGCCTGCACCGCAACTTCTTTGGCCCGGTAAGTCTTATCTCTATGAATCAGAAAACCTTGGAAAAGCGGACTGGAGACACTTAACTTGGGAGAGTGAAAAAGATAACAAAATGCAGCCATTGTACTGACCTGAGCGTCCAATATTATCCGAAGAGCTTTTGGATGCTTTCGACCGGCTCTCCTTGCTGCTTGATCGTACCGAACCTGATGGCGCAGGAGGCGGCGGCGATGGAGTCACTGTGCTACTAGTCTCTCCTCTAATTGTTGTGAGATCTTGCATACTGAAGCTTCGAAGTCTCTCTGACAAAGCTCCTTGGCTCTGAGGAAAGAGGCAGAGAGATCGTACACCTTTTGAGTCATCCATTTATCATATTAGAGAAGTCTTCTAAAGGTGTTCAAAGACCTATAAACTTATACTGAAGCAAACCACTGATGCTGCTGTTCCTGCTTTTTTAATGAAACTGTAGTCTTCTGTTCTGGAAGATGATATATGTTGTGCACATAGATATATCTACATGTATGAGTCTCTCTCTCTCTCTATATATATATATACACACACACACGAGGAGTATTTTTTAAGTAAAGTCCGTTTTGTTGTAGACACTAGTAGTTCGTGTGCATATCAAAACGAGCGCGTGCGTCGTGTACCGGCATGCCTCAGGAACAACTGTGCTCAGTTTCCGCTCTGTAACTAACCTATACGGTTCTTTTCTGTGCTTTAAAAATGTTTAAGACTATCAACTCACCCGCCGCATGTGAGGTTCGCTCAGTGATACGGTTTTTATCAGCAAGAAACCTGCCTGCTGCAGAAATTCATTGACAGATTTGTGAAGTGTATGGTGATACTGTTATGAGTGAAAGCAAAGTGTGTAAGTGGGTACAACAATTCAAAGATGGTCGTGACAACGTCCATGATGAGGACCGCTCTGGTCGCTCTTCTTTGATTACAGACGATTTGGTGGCTTCAGTTGAAGCGAGAGAACCTCACATGCTGACGGTGAGTTGATAGTAAATAAATATATCAATAATAATGATGGCCGGGGTGGTAATGACGTTACTTTATTTATTTATTTATTTGCAATATTTATAGCCCGCCTTTCTCAGCCAAGACGGGCTACAGATTGGCACAATTTGATGTCAGGCATTCATAAAAGTGCCATTAAAAACAATCAACATTACAGTATAAAACATAAATAAAAACCGTTAAAGCATATAATCATCGGTGTCATCTTGTTAAAAACGTTATCTATTCCATGTTCATCATTCATAGTTCCGTGTTATCTATTTCGCTGCATTCTCAAAAGCTTGCTCAAAAGAGCCAGGTCTTTACTTTTTTTCAGAAAGTCAGGAGAGAGAGGGCCGATCTAATATCCCTGGGGAGGGAGTTCCATAGCTGGGGGACCACCACTGAGAAGGTCCTGTCCTTCGTCTCTGCCAATCGCACTTGCGAGACAGGCAGGATCGAGAGCAGGGCCTCCCTCAGATTATCTTAAGGCATCTCCTAAGCAGTAGCTTACCAATGGCATTTAATTCTACAGTGCAGATGCATCCTTCATGTATTTTATAACATCCAGCCATTGTTCTTACAATATTAATTTTTGGAAAATTGTGTGGAGGATTTTTTGTTCATTTAAAATTATTAATTATTTTTAAACTATATAGATATAGATGATATAGATATGGGACTCTCTAAATGTCTATTGAAAAATAACAACTTAGGGATAACAAATTACTATTTAAAAACTACATCCCAAGCTCTGCTAAAGTACACAGTGCTCCTGAAAGGAGGCTTCCTTGTTGAATTCAGTGCTAAGAACTAGATCCACCTCTGGAACCCTATATTAAACCACATTTATTTTTGCTGCTCAATCCTAATCAGACTTCAAAGCTGAACACACAAAAGCCTTAAAACAGAAATCAAACAAAGATCAGTAGTCCACAGGTTAGTCCCAGTAGTGATTGTGGGTACTTTGTTTAGTACTAAATACTAAAATATCAAACAAGCTAGTCTTTTATTTTTTATTTTTTTGAAATTATGGGGGTTATTTCAGGTGTTAACAGAAACACTGACAGGGTTACCTGCCATTCTGTCAGGTCCACATACAAGAGAAAATGAAGGAACTGTGTGATCTATTAGGTGAAAAAGAAATTCCATTGTGGCAATGCATGACAAAAAGCAAGTTGGAGTAGAGGTGTTGAGGAATTTTGTTCCTTCTGATGTGCTTGACTACAGTCCCATTTACACTGCCATATATTGTCATTTCAGAATGCAGATTAATTGCATTGAACAGAATTATATGTAAATGTCGACTCATATAATCCAGTTCAATAATAATAATAATAATAATAATAATAATAATAATAATAATAATAATAATAACTTTATTTATACCCTGCCACCATCTCCCCAAGGAGACTCGGGGCGCCTTACATAAGGCCAAGCTCGACAATACAATACATCAGTAAAAACAACACAGCAATAAAATAAAATAAAAATAAAAATACACTACAAAACATTAACAATAACATATAGGCAATCAAACAAGATATTTAAAACATAAGGATCCAACTCTGTGGCCAGGGCCAAATCCAATAGATTAAAAATTTAAAACATTGGGTGTGGACAATGAGGGTCAATATGCATTATATGAGTCTACACCAGTGGTTCTCAACCTTGCTAATGCCGTGACCCCTTAATGCCGTTCCATATGTTGTGGTGACCCCCAACCATAATATTGTTTTCGTTGCTACTTGATACCTGTCATTTTAGTACTGTTATAAATCGTAATGTAAATATCCGATATGCAGGATATATTTTCATTCACTGGACTAAAATTGAGCACAAACACCCAATATGCCCAAATGTGAATGCTAGAGGGGTTGGGGGGGGGGGGGAATTGATTTTGTAATTTGGGAGTTGTAGTTGATGGGATTTATAGTTCACCTATAATCAAAAAGCATTCTGAACTCCACCAGCGATGGATTTAAACTGAACTTGGCACAAAGAACTCCCATGACCAGCAGAAAACCTTGGAAGGGTTTTGTGGGCATTGACCTTGAGTTTGGGAGTTGTAGTTCACCTATTTCCAGAGGAGCACTGTGGACTCAAACAAGGATGGATCTGGACCAAACTTGGCACAAATACTCAGTATGCCCAAATGTGAACAGTGGTAGAGTCTGGGGGAAATAGACCTTGACATTTGGGAGTTGTAGTTGCTGGGATTTATAGTTCACCTACAATCAAAGAGCATTCTGAACTCGACCAAAACTTCCCACACAGAATCCCAATGACCACCAGAAAATACTATGTTTTCTGATGGTCTTTGGCGACCCTTTTGACACCCCCTCATGACCCCCAGGTTGAGAAACACTGGTCTACACTGACCATTATAATGCAGTTAAAACTGGATTATATGGCTGTGTGGATGGGGCCAGCAACTCCCACAATCTTTTACCCTTACTCATACTGATCTGAGTTATAAGCCAAAACATTTTGAAGGCCAAAGGTTCCACAAATATGGATGAAATTACAGCTGGACCTGGCAGCTGAAGAGCTAGGTGTCATGTGCAAGGCCTTGAGGCTTTCATTTCAAATAGACTGAGAACCCAATGTAGGGAGAATGCTATACATGGAGCAACATGACATTTTCATGGGTTACATGACAGTCAAATATCTATATAAGTATGTTTCATGTTATAGGACAGTGCAACATATTACACATATAGTGTGTTATTTAGAAACCTTCAGCTATAAGAATGAATTCTTCCATTTATGAGTAAAAAAATGAAGCACAGAGAACGTCGATGTGAATGGAGTCCATTCCGATCTCCCCATATTATTTGGCCTGTGCAAATGAGCCAAAAGTATCAAATGGTAAAGCCATAATAAACATATAGGTTCTACACCCAATAACACCTAGGGCTAACTAACCTGATCAGTAGGCTACAATAATAATAATACTAATAATAATAATTTATTTATACCCCGCCACCATCTCCCCAAGGAACTCGGAGCGGCTTACATGATGCCAAGCCTAACAACACATCAATAAAAACAACAAGCAATAAATAAAATAAACAATACAATTCGTATAACTCACACGTAG